GTGAAATGAAATGAATCAGTCACAAGTTTCTAGGTAGGAAAAGGAGCATCACTACTGCAAACAACAACAACGAAAAACGCAAGACAACCCTATGATTACCCTAGGTAAATGAATCCCTTTCTCCTACAGCTCAGAGATTCACAAAAGCGGGTGAGAGTGGAGAACCTTTCAAATGTAAACATCTACTTCTTCAGGATGTAGCTAAGGGAAAATGCTGGAAAAACTGGGGAGCTTTCTTTCCCATGTTGATCCCTGGAATGTGCACATTCCCTTCCTAATAAAGAAGGCTGAGCAAATGCAGTGCGGTGGATACAGCTGATTGATAGATCATTTTAGCATCAGGCCTGTTACAGAACCTGCCCCAATACTGTGAGTTCTCATCTGATTAATATTGCTATGTCCCTGGTTCTTGCCTCACCGAGCTGACAACTGGTTAGCACACCCTGGACGCTGAGCAAGAATAAAACACTAACAGCAGTCTGGTAGTCAGCAGCTGCAGAATAATACTGAAAGAAGTTAAAGTACTCTAGTGATAGGGTTTTTTTTGGTCCATTTTATGTGATTCCACGTAGCCAACCACAAACAAGCATCCCCAAAAGGCAGCTTCTAGATACATTCTTTTTCTGTGGTTCATTCCCATGCCCATACTGAATGATGCATGAGAAGGATGAGCACAGACCACAGCCAGCAAATGCTCCCCAGGTATCATTCTGTGCAACTGAACCCAAGAAGCAGTAGCCCTCCTCCCCAGGCACACAAGGCACCTAGCCTCCTAATCACCCCGTTCCTGTCTATGTGATGTTAAATCCAATTATTTTAGTTATGAATGACCATTCAGGTGGATCTGTGATAACAGCAGATGAGATTTAATAGCTTAAAGTCTATGAGACATCTACTTAGAGAGTGGGCTTAGAGGGGGAAGGTGTGTCAGGGTGAAAGGACCAACGTTGGGGCAAAGAACTTTTATAGGAATCATCTGACAGGCAAGAATGAGGAAAATATTGCGGTGTCCAGCACAAACAGCTTCTTTTGATGCAGCCCAGGATACGGTTGGCTTTCTGGGCTGTGAGCCCACACTGAAGTTGTCTCATGCTAAACTTCTCGTTGACCAACATCCCCAAGTCCTTCTCCTCAGGGCTGCTCTCAATCACTTCTCTGATCCAGGTGTAGGACTTTGCACTTCGCTTTGTTGAACTTCATGAGACTGGCATTTACCCACCTCTCAAGTCCCTCTGGATCCCATCCCTTCCCTCCAGTGTATCAACTGAACCACACAGATCAGCGTCATCAGCAAACTTTCTAAGGGCTCACTCAATCCCACTGTCCCTGTCGCTGACAAAGATGGTGGAACAGGATCAATCCCAACACTGGCCCCTGAGGGACATCACTCGTTACTGATCTCCACTTGGACATTTTTCCATTGACTGCAACATCCATTCATCAAATCAATGTCTCTCCAGTTTAGAGGCAAGGATGTCAGGCAGGACAGTGTCAAATGCTTTGCACAAGTCCAGGCAGATGATGCCAACTGCTTTACCCTTCTCCATCAGTTCCGTAGCCCCATCATAGAAGGCCACCAAATTGGTCAGGCAGGATTTCCCCTTAGTGAAGCCATGCTGGCTGTCACCAAGCACCTTGTCGTTTTTCATGTGTCCTAGCATGGTTTGCAGGAGAATCTGCTCCATGATTGTACCAGGCATCTCTGTTGTCTTGACATATCTTCTCTAGTCTGTATCTGTAAGCCTGAGCAAACATATCTGCCTGCAACTATCCCATCTATTTACTAAGTACATCTTCCCATCAATACAGACAGCTGCTCTTTCAACTCTGTGTGTTTTATTGTTTTCCTCATATGACTGCAGAATAAGCGATTGCCAAGATCTCCATGACACAGGTGAGAAATTCCCCCAAGTGTCACCAGAAATTAAGTCACGTGTACCCTATTTCTGGTCAAATGACCATTATATTGACATCACATTTCAGGTATACTTCTGTAGGATGATTAACTTACATGAGAATAAAAGAGAAGTGAGTTTCATCTTATGGAAATTAGTTTTATATAACTGCAAAAATAAAGCATGGTTTCCAAGGAAAATTTAGCGTCAAGTACCTCCAGCAATTTAGGAGGTCTGATGATGCACAATCACTGTAATTAATTACCATCATCTTATAGAATTGGTTCTAATTAGTTGATGCCTTTCCACTAAGAATATATCTGAAGCATCTTCATACGGCATATGCGTAACAGATTTTGTACCCAAGTGCTCAAAGTCAGCAGCCACTATATAGGATATTTGTGGGGTGGGGAATACATAATCCAGCTGAGCTTGCTATTTAATCCATAAAAATGGCAGAAAATAAGGCACTGGCTTGGGGACTTGGGTCACATAACTGCAACCAAAATACAGCACTAAATAAGATGAAGGATGAGTGTGCTGTCCTGGGATTCAGGGGAGTTTTACCTGGAGCTTACGATTAGTGGCTCAACTTAGCATGTGGCATGGAAGCTAATACTCCACCACTCCACCAAGTCTGTGAGGAGGGTGATGGCAAACGTCTTCCATGAAGAGTCTTCTGGAATACCTCCACATGGTTCATCACAGTGTCGCTTTGAAATTGAAAGATTGACCCATTTTTGCCTGCTTTGGAGAAGGACAGGTTGGAGGGATGTGCTGGTGGATTTCTGCAGGTTGCGGTGTGGGGAGAAGTATTTCTTATGCTGAGAAACTGATTTCCTCCTCTCTCTGTAAAACCACTTCACAGTGTAACAAGTGACTCCTTTAAATAATAAGACAGACTATCTTATAAGCCCTGCTAAATCTCACCACATAAGAATTGTTTTATTCATTGAACACCTTTCTTAGAATCACTCAAGATAAACCAACCTTCTATACTTCTCTGTATCTTCACAAAAGCTTTAAAAAGCGTAGACTGCTACCTGCAGGGAACAACTATTATTAATGAAGCAGCTGGATTTCTTTTTAACTAGGTTACTTTGCAGCCATTTCCTCTGCTAATTATTAACAGATACACTGATGATATATCTACAGTGCTTTGGGACGCTGAATATTATCTGAAGTCCTTTAAAATAGCATTTCAGAAGAATAAACCATATCTGAAGTATGAATTAAAACTGGAAAATAATATACACGGAAACCAGCTGTAGAAATGATTAGCTCACATTTCTCCCCAAGCAGTTTTGCCTACAAATACATCTCAGGCAATGTGAGAAGTATTGATTCGCAGTAACATCATAATTTTGCTGATGTCAGTTTCTATTACAGTATCCTCATAAGTAGTAACTATTCTGATGAATAAATGCATGTGGAGAAAAACCGGAATGCAGGCATCATACCAGAGCGATTCAGAGAAATGTAATTGTCTCTCATGCGCTATTTCAGTATTTGCTTTTATTCTCTTCTACAAAATTCTGCATGCCCACACACACACACATACACACACATGCACAGAGCGGAGTTTCAGGCCCAGACAAGTCTTCCTGCTGAAAAATCACAGAGCAGGGAAGCCCCAGGTACTCAAATCAGTGGCAGTCTGTCTGCTGCAGATGGTTACAGAGATGAGCCAGAAAGGCAAGGGGGGGGATTTTTAAAACCTACCCAGTTTCTAAGAAGAACTTGATGATACCAAACTCTCCAGAAAAGTAACTTGATTTTGAGTTACCAGCAAATTCTCACCAGAAACTGCGGCGCTGCTGTGTTTCTAACAACACAGCATGTGTCTGTCATGTGTCTTGAAAAAGGAAAGTAAAAAATGATTTGGGACAGTCGGTGAAAAGGACAAGACGAAATATTACAGAAAAAATACTACAGAATAATCAAAACAAAAGGAATGGAAAAACAATGTCTAGAAATATCAAAGATAACAGGTCTGATGTGCTTTCAGGGTAGCATCCTCTGTTCCAGATGCTCTTTGGTTACCTCTTTTCTCAACCTGCTGTTAAACATGTACCCTCTCTATGACTTCCTCTCCCTCTCTCTGATTTAGGTCTTCTTTCTAAAGTGTTGGCTGTTTTTCCCTCTTCCTGCTTATTCGTGCTTTTCTCTAAGCAGTCCCATCTTCCTGCTACCAAAGCATCCCTGAGTCACCACCATTTATATTCATACAAGTATTTTCACAGCTCCCTGTTGAACACCTCTCCTTTGCGCTTGGAACACCCTTTCAACCAAATTCCCAAAACCATGGTCCCTCTACCTGCTGCCCCAACCTTGCCTACAACCCCGGCTTTGCCATTCTGCAAGATGGCAATGGCAAGACAGAAGGCTAGTAAGGGCTGATGTTTGCTTTTTAAGACTAATTTGACTATCAAACTATTCGCATAGGGTCTTATGTCACTGGGCCTCCAGCATTTCCAGGGGTTAACAAAGAGACTATTGTAGGCTAAGTTTAACTTAGTTTAACTAAGGGGGATCATTCCTTTGTTCTACGTCCCTAAGAAAAAATAAATACAACTGCAGCACCATACTATTCATGCTTCCTGTAGACCCTCTTTAATATTTATTAGTGACCTTTGGGGGTTAATTAATGCCAGAACATTTCACCCATGAACTGATTCAATTTGTTAAATGCAAGTAACCATAAATAATTATAAGTCAATTACTGTATCTGTTCTACACTTCACCAGCCAAAAAAAATCATACCAAAGTCTTTTTGAAGGAGCAAAATGAGCTGCTTCCACAAGGCTTGGTGTTTGTGCTTCAATTTATCTTTTCCTTCCCAAAAACACTATTTGAAACACATTTTTCTAAACATGGGAACTACTTTTGTGGAAGAAATCAATTATATTCTTAAGCTTAAATCTTCCTTTTCCAGCCATGCTCTAATGCATCTGTACCTTAGAAATGTACCCTGGGGAAAATGCGTCTATTCTTCGCTAAAAATCCATGAATGCCATTATGTAGAAATTAATTTATGATAAATGATTTAAAATCTTAACCTAGAATGGTGTCTTATTCAAACGTCATCAGAAAATGGCACCTCACCCGCAGAAAGGAGTCAAGGGATCCATTCTCCATGTATTCAACTACAATCATTACTGGTCTGCCTGCAAAACAGCAAAGAAATTCATTAGGATTATAAATATATCATGGGCCTTTTATAAAACCAGCTGTTATACACAGATTATTCACAGTAGTTAAATACGTTATGTATTTTCAAAATCCTCATTTATATCACAAGCACAATTCCCTATTTATTCTCTAAGAATAATTTTCTATCTTTTTCTCTTGGTACTGGATTAGCTGAATGTGCATCATTCACTCCGGTGTTTTTCGCTTTCCAATGGATCAAAGAAGAGCTTGCTGTTTCCAAATAGCAACACTTGCTGCATAGGTGTGTATCATTTTGGAACATATCTGAGTTAAGGCAAAACCCCCCATATTCATAAGCCATGTCCTAGAAATTATAAACTCTGTGCTGTAATTTTCCTCTCTGAGAAAAATATCGATGATTTAGGGGCCTACAGATAGACAGATTGAAGGGCATGTGACAGAAAAAGCTCTCCTAGATTGGGTGTGTGTGTTGGGAGAGTATAATCTAGCAAAACTCTGAATTCATGTTTGTACATACATAACATACACAATGTTATTCAAATCCTAGTTTTGCTCAACAGCATTCCTGTATGGTTCCAGGTGGCATCATATTCAAATTGAAGTAGAATAACATGTTACATTTATTTCTTAAAAGAATATCCAAATCTGAAGAGAAACTTTTAAATTGGGTACTTAATCACATATAATTTCACTGTGATACGCAGGAATAAACCAGCACCCTAGAACTGCTTGATGGGAAAGGACCAAAAAGCATGCTAATCAGGCTATGCAGCAAGAGGATTGTTAGAATTGCTACTATTACAAATGAGCCATTCCAATATGGGCAAAACTAAGGTAACGAACAAGAATGCTAGAGCAGGTAAAGAGCCTTAAAATGGACACCTTTTCTTTCCCAAGAATGCCTGTCTTTTGGGGTTTGTGGGAAACCAGGAGTGTGCCAATTTATGACACCGCAATCTGCCCATTTCACTTTCTCGATACAACACTAACTGTTCCAATGTGTTTCAAATCCAAAAGAAGCCTCTTTCATTACTTTTTTTCTCCGTGCTTCTCAAATTATGTTTGCAAAAGAAGATAAGAAACACACAGTATTTATGGTGAGAAAGCGTGGAAGGGCATTATGATTCTTCCAGCACAACCGTCCATTTCTGTGCATGCTAACTTTCTGTTCAGCTCAGCTAATAGCAGAAGTGCTGATTAAACTGTCCACTATATACAATAAGCCACAGCCAGGTATTTATTTCTCGTGAGGTCTTAGAGCCAACCTTAAATTTAGAAGAGTGAATGAGCCATTTCTCTGTCCCAAAATGTGGACTTGGGAGTTGCAGACACGCTGGTGATGCTCATTCACGTAGCTTAGTCTAGTCTTTCTGGGGGTTCCTCACAATAATCTTTCATTTCTCCTAATAAAATTTGGGCTTCTTTCCGTATTCACCCTGACGTTTAGGTCCTCAGTGAATACAACAGTGCTCCATAACGTTGGCACAGTAGTACATTCTTTTACTGTGTGAAAATTCTCAGATGCCTTAACAGCTTTGGATTGCCTTTCTCACGTGTGAAGAATTACCAGCTTCTTTTTTTTTTAACTGAAAGCTTGACCTCAGCTGCAGATGTACATCTGCCATCAAATCAACTGATATTCATCTGCACCCATTGGTTATACCCTGGTTTTGCATTATAAGCTTAAACAATGCATCAGTTTTAAGCTCTTAGACATCACAGCATTTTAAAAATTGACATTTTCTTTGTTCAGCTTGCTAATGATGATGTTGTATAGCCTAGCCTCTTTAGTTCCATGCACGTGAACGTCCTAGATTCTTTTATCTTTACCATTTTCTTACTGTCAAGGGCCTGACGTCTCCATTTGAAAGGAATATTCTATAATCTAGAGAAATAAACAAGCAGCAACCTGATGCTACAGGATCTTACTATATGCGAACTCTCTCAAACAAGTACTAATGTCTAAATTGCAGCAGATAACAGCATCCTGCAATAAATCGTTCCGGGTAAATCAACAACTAAAACACCTTTGTGGAAGATCTGCATTTGAAGGGAATGACAAATAGAGCTGTTGAGCTTCAAAACAATGCCCCTGGTTTCCTGTTAGTAATCCTTTGGTGCCCTACACTTTCTGGAAGCTATTTTGTAAGGGTTTTTTTGAGGTACATAGGCTCTCATTGTATCTTTTATGCTCCTTAGATTCATATCCTTCAACACAAATTATTTTCACATTTACTTTGTAAAAGCGATTTTTAATTCTTGCACGTGCTCTCACAAAATATTCCCCTATCCAAAAAAAACCAACAAACTGTACCTCATTTTGCTCAGGACAACAGCATGAGCTTCTAGGCTAAAGTAACTATGAAATGTACCTGTATGAATTTTTCTGTGGATTTAGGAAAGAGATTTCGGTATTTTTCACTGGATAATATTAACGAGCTTCTAAACTGCTTGATGCGTTCTTTCAATCACTTGAAATGATAAGCCTTAACAGAAAACCAGCTCTTGTGCATGATAGCACAGGAATAGCATGATCTGCTAAACACACCAAAATAAGTAGCATTTGTCTTCAAACAGGCTGCTGTAGATTGGAGATCATTATGTATTTGGGAATTCTGGTGAACTATAAATTTACTCACTTTGGCTGACAGCTTCCCACAGACTCAGTCTGCATCACTTGCCATCCTACCTAAATCTCAAATGAACCTGATGCAAGATTGCGTCAAGACACCACAAAAATGAACTCAGCTCCATCACTTGATTATCTGAAGCAAAAAATATTACATCTGGATCCTAGCCCTAACTTCTCAAATAATCTTTTAGTGTGCCAGCACTTGATAAAAGCCATCCTATTTTGGCTGCAAGTTTGATGTATCACTGAAGATATTCATGTATTACAAGCTGGACTGTGACAGGCAATACAGTGAAACTTCTAGTCAGCATAGTATTTGTCTTTGGAGTACCTGCAGATCAAAAATACCTCAGCTATTGTTTCAGTTGCTTGAAGGTACAGCAAAAATCTGCTACACAGCAGATTGTAGTGGATACATTTATCATCAAAGTGGTAAAACACAGGTTCTATTCCCGGCAAACAATTCTTTTCCAGTGATTTTATAGCCTTGCAAATTTCATACACGGATGTCTAAATGTTTTACAAATATAAGTACCTCAAGCATCAGGAAAAGTCAGATAGGAAACATCTTGATTTCAGAGGTGTGATAGGAAAAACAGGTTCAGGAAATCAAGTGGGCCTCTCCATCTAGTCAGTATAGTATACCCAACAAGACTGTTTGGTTACCAATGCACAATGTTGTATTTTCTTCCCTAGATCAGTACCCCGGAGAGGCATGTGAGTGATTCCGCTGTGCATTCGCATTGTATTAACAGACTCTGCACAAACAGCTGAAGGAATGGGAGGAATTGGCTCTGGAGAAGCTGATGAGATGAGAAGATGAGCAGCTGACTCTGGCACATCCAAGGGTGTAATCCAATACTGGGCATCTCAGCCCAGAGACCAAGCCACCATCCTAAGGACACGCAGTGGGACAGATCAGACTGCAATCTGGAATACTTAATCACCGAGGAGTCAGAGGGCAGCAGCCAACCCAGGGCTTGCGTCGAACAAAGTTGTTGGTAAGACAAAAGGCTATGGATGACATTAGTTGATGTTATTTCATTTTAGCTGTAAAGAGCAGTCCAGAAAAGATTAAGGTCTGTGCTGAACCCTGTACAGAGACAGAATACTGCTTTTGCTTTAAAGAGGACAACAAAATTGAGTTTGAAAAATAATACTGGGAGATTTCTAAACTAGCATAATGCTTGCCTCTAGACAAAGAAAAAAGACTATCACTTAGATTATGAAAATCCTTGTCGCTCTCATGGTACTAAAAAAGATGAATTCTTCATCCTCAAAGCAAGGGCAGGAATGAATAAAGGCGAGGGTCAGAGAAGTCTCTGAAATGGAGAAGCAATCTTCTATTATTTTACCATGGGGTAGGCTAATGCAATTCTGGAAGGCATCAAATTATTTTCATATATTTATGGTTGCTTGCTTGTATAAAACATGGACATCTTTACTTGAAGAAATGGGTTTAAGGACATACAGCAGTGTGAAGCAGTACAGACAGAAGTCTGGAAAGCACTCAGGGCTCAGAAGGGTGACACAGGCTGCAGCACAGACAGTGATGCCAGTGCTGAGTGAGCCTGCAAGAGCTCACATGTAGCCCCAGGGAACAAGAGAGCATGGACCAAAAGACAACTCCCGTGACTGATGATGAGTCCCATTTGCAGCATGTGGGCACCTCACCAGATAGGGGGACACCCAGACTCTAGTTTACAGACTTGAGCAGCTGAGTGTTTTCACAGAGATACAGGCATAGGCACTGGAGAAGGACCTGAGAAAGAGCTGAGTTAATTTTACAGTCAAAGTCCACATAAGAGAAAGCATGGAAAAAGAACACTGAAAAAAGTGCAATCTTGGGCTGAGGACTTGGAATAAAATACAGACATCAAGAGCATCGAGGGGCTAAAAACAGTGGGTGCTGCTGGAGGAGAGCATAGAACTTCATGTTCAAACTGGGGAAGGATAAAGCAAAAGAAGTCTGATGATGGATGGATGCGATGACCGAATCAGTTAAATCATTCTCGTAGCAGTTCTGGATACCTAGCAGTGCTGGAGTAAGAAATACTATGAGAAAACAGACTTTTAAAATATAAGAATTATATAGTGTTCTGAGGCAACAGGTCTTAACCCCAAATATGGATTTTACACACTATGTGCATATCCCATTTAGTGTTTGCAGCACCGTAGTGTAACAAATTTATCACTTCACTACACACTTATCAATATGAAATTATAATTGTATTTATACATGACATATACTGATACCATAGCCGCATTCACTGTTTTCATCATACTTCCGGTGAAACTGTAAATATTCCCAGCTCAGAAGTGTGTGTGGGCTATTTGTTAAAGCAGCTTTACCTCCTTTCA